TTTTCTCTCTGTTCCACAGAAAAACTGCGCTTCCCGCCTCTCTCCCTACTCAGGCTCGGCCGGGTTGATTCCTTAGCTCAGTGCAGACCCTTTAAAAGTCGTTTTTTTGCTTTTTTCCCCTCTGAAGTGAAGCCCAGCTGCTTCCCAGGTGGCTCAGCTTTCCCTCACATGGGGAAGAACCCGATTGCTGCTCTAAAGTAAGGAAAAACCAGCTCGTTTTGTTTTAAAAAAAAAAAGTCCTGCTGTTTTCTTCCTTCTGCCTGGGGCCAAGAGAGAAGGAACATCCTCATGTGAAGATTTTCGGACCAAAACTCCCCCTTCAAACCCTTCCCGTTGTGGTTTTTTTAACTGTTTCGGCCCCTCGAAGCTTCGCTCACCGCTCGAGACCATCCAGCTGACGCAGTAGCGGGGGAACACGGTCTGCGGGTTGTCGCTGTAGGTCAGCAAATAGTCGAAACCGTTCTGGGAAAGGGAAAAAAAAAGCAAGAGTTTAGCCCGAACGGAGCTTTGCATCCTCCCCAGAAACCCCCTGGCCCCTTTTTTTCCCCAACTCATTTTGGGCTGTGAACCTCGCGGGCGAGGACCAGCGAAGAACAAGTTTTCCACCCTCTCCCCCCTCAAAAAAAACCAAACCCCAACCCCAAACATACCTCGTCAAAGGTTTTGTGGGGCCGGATGACCATCTGAGATTCGTAGGTTCGCACTCGGACGTACTCGGGGTCTTCGGGGACGCTCGGATGCTCCACTGCCCTGGAGAGAAGGAGAGAAGGGAGACGAGCGCGGCGATATTTCGGATAATTTAAGGGTTTCGTTGAATTGAAGGCGGCTGCTGTTTCCAGACAGATCCCTGCTGAGGTTTAGAAGTTTGTACCCGGCTCTCAATTCCCGTTTTGGGTCTACGTACCGCGAGACCAGCACCATGAGGTTGTTCTCTTTGTCGACGCTGTAGCGCCGCACGTAGACGTAATCCCGCGAGTACATGGGGTACTGGGGGGGGAGAGAAAAACCAGGCGTCAGCAAGGAGAAGCACGAGAGGAGAGAAGATAAAACCAAAAGCAGCAAAGGAGCCGCTCACCGGGAAATGGGTGACCCAGTGAATCACTTCGGAGCCGGTGACCAGGTCTCGTTCGATGACGTCCAGTTGGATGACCAGCGAGTCCCACTTCTTCCGATATTCGGTGTCCAGCTGGCAAGAGAGAGAGGCTGAGTCACGACAAAGCGCGACGGCGGCGGTAAAGGGAGGTCGCAGGCCCCTCTCCTCATCGCGGGGGAAAGGAGCTGCGTCACGATCCGGCGTTTTATCTGCCAGGAAATTATCGAACGCTCCTTGAAAGTCAGCGGGGAGAGGGCCGGGATCAGAAATTCACAGAGCTCCTGTGGCAGAAGAAGATGGGGGCGAGGAAGAACTCCGGTCCCTTGTGGTATCGGCTCCGCATCACGAAAATGACGTCGAGAGGAGAGAGTATTGGTCGAGAGGAGGGAATATCGGTCGAGAGG